GTAGATCAATCGAGTCTGTACCACCAAAACGAGAGGCACTTTTCCAACATGCCAAACGTTCCGTGTTCCAAGCTGGATTGATTTGGATACAGTGTTTGCTTTTACAGCCTGTTCTTCCATCCCCCGACTTGTATGGTTGGAAAAAGCAAGACAACGGTATGTAAGAACCCGTTCTTGACAATATTGGCAGAGGCAACCTCTTCACTACAGGAGCTTGTTCACTGTGGATGCATAAAAAGGTTGTCGAGGACAATGCAAGGGTTTCAAATCCGCACTTCCGAATACAGCTTTAGGCAAGTGTGATGGAGATTGTGCCTGATGGACTGCAGCGAGTATAGGCTTTACCGACACAAACAAGATGAATGAACGTGTTGTTGCATATGACAGCTACTGTATAATATATTACTTTCAATTGTACTCATCTGATATAATTTTTTGGTATATATTGCAACTTCCTTTTGACTTGTTTTAACATTTTTGTTATTTCGGCCGCCATCTTGGAAAAAAACGGAAGTTGATAGTTTTTTATATTGGTTTCATATCTTCATTTGTTAAGAAGGGTCTAAAGAGATAATATACAAAGTTTCATTTTTTTACCACCTTGTGTACGGTTTCTTTGATATTTAGTTTAGAATATTTGGAATTTTGTCCGCCATCTTGGAAAAAAACCGGAAGTTGATTTTTTTCAGGTTGGCTCCATATCTTATTTTGCTAAGAATGGTGCTAGGAGCTTATATACCAAGTTTGATGCTTTTACCACATTTTGCAGAATTCTGATGAAAAATTGGACTTAGCTGCTTGACTAATCGTATTAGAGTCGTTTTGTCTCCCCACTATGTGAAAAGGTGCGTTTTTTATCCGTTGTACCTGTACATCATGTCCAACTCAAAACACCAAAAACACACCCATCCCCCGAAGACAAAGTGCAAATTAATATGAATTTAAAATAAAATTGATTTTAAGATCTCGTTTGATTTTTGTCCCCCGCGCGACAAGTTGTGGTGGACATACAAATATGTTTCCGGTCTTGTTAGCTCTCTGACGTGTACATTCTTGCCTGATTTTTATAAAACTTGTATATTAGGTTTATATAAGTATTTTCGCTGACAAGTTTGAAAATCAATGCCGATCAATTATTCTAAAAAGAGTCATGCCCGTTGGATATATTAATTAGTATGTGGAAAATTGCATTTTTAAGCACTCTCTCGTATACGATTTGTTGCCAGATCTTTAAAATAATTTATATTAAAGGTTTATATCAGCATTGTCTTGGATAACTTTGAAGGTCAGTGCTGATCAAATATTTTTAAAAGAGTTATGCCTCTTGGAGTAAATAATTATATCGAAAATTGCATTGCATTTGCTCTCAAATCTGCATTTCTCTATCAACGATATTTATAAAAAAAATCAAAGAACAAACAAGTTTTAATAGCCATTGATAGATACAATATGTACAACGCGGGAGGGGGGATTGGATTGGGGGGCATTTGAACTGTTCTTGTAATCAGTTTGTTTTTGCCGTTTGAATAAAATAGGTTAATGAAAATATCTTGTTGTAGCTTGTTTGCGTTCGAAGTGTCTCTCTTGATTTACCTTTATTGAAGCACCGATCATTCATTCATTGTAGGGGCCACAGGTTTTTAATTAATCGTTTGATTGTTAATTTCGAGAAAATAATTTATTTTAAAACGGAATTGAAAGAAAACGATGTAACGGGATCTGAATGATTACATTTTATTTCGACCTAACCGAGTGCACATTTAGTGTTGACATTCCATATCATTTGTTAACTTTCTCCTTATTCCGATGTACCTGACACAGTGTCCTGTTTTGACTGTGCTTATTAGATTACAATGCTGGTAGTTTCTTCATGTTCTTTTAAACAAGCTTTCGAAACCATATCGGATTTCTTCTGTACAGTCCAATAAATTTCAAAGACTGCTTACACTTGAAACATAGGAAAAGTTGTTCGTATTGCATCAAATCCCTCGACATTCTGCATCAATGCAGTTACTATTAAAAATGTTAATAAAAATTAAAGGTTAATTTACTTTTTATGTTTCACCTAAGTGCGATTATATTTCCTCATTTTTTGTTCTTTTATTTGAATCGTTATTATGCAAAGTTTTTTGTTTTGTGATTGAATATGATACGTTTAGAAAGCGACGCTAAAATGAAAGTATTTTTATTATATAGTCATATTTATTTGCAAATTTGAAATAAAGAAACATTTATCTTTCAACTATTTTATACCAGACTGAGACAAATTGTATGTTTGAATCGTTCTAAGTTATTATAAAACATCAGGTTTTACGTTTGACGTCAATTTCAAAGATGTCGACACCAGCAGAAAAGATAACTCGCGGCGTAACGTCATTCGGTAACCTTAAATTGTTAAGCAGTGCATATTTTACTCTTTGCAGTCATTGAAACTCATAGATTCTTGATGAATATTGTTGTTGTGGTGTTTTCGTCTTGTCGAAAACACAAACGTAAGCCGTAACACCTGAATGTGGTTTCTTGTGACCGCGGCATACAATAATACAAGCTAGAGATACAAAAATACCTCAATAAAGATAGCAAGAGTTTGTTCTATCCAAAAAATGTACTTATTATTCCATAAACAGCAGATTTATTTTTAGCAAATTTGAGGCCCTTGGGGCAAAAAAAAACCAGAGAAAAATTCCTAACCCCTGTGCCATAAAAGAGATAATTTAGCCTGTACAGGCATGACAGGATATGATTTTATTGAAATAAATGTCTTCTGTATAGAATAACAATAACTGTGCTTTGAATTTATGCAAATTCAGATGCAGATTCCAGCAGTCAGTTCTATAAAACTTTCAGTTAATTCATATACCAGACTGGTAACTTCATATATACAATTTTTGTAAATATGGCTCTGTTTAAACACTTCCAGTCATATTTTAGCAAAATTATGTTAGATATACAGAAAGAGATAATATTATAGTGACAAGAATCCTTCAATGACCATTTGAGGCAGATATTGTGAACTTTTAAAGATAAATAGGCTTACAGTAAGATGTGGACTGGAGACAGAGGCAGGATTGGATATTTTATATAATCTTGAATGTTGTAATGATTAAAACTACTAAACGTTACATTTATAGTATTCTGAAATGATTTTAATTTGTTATCGGAAAAGTTTCAAATATGTTCTGTGCATTTTATGTCAGAAAACATGCACATAGGGTAAGCTGACATTAATTTAAGTCTTGTTTTCAAATTCTTTTAAAAATTGAAACAGGAGTGGGGGTATACAATGTACTGTATAAGAAAAGTTAGAGCAAATGCAGTGATTTCTTTAAGGCTATGATTCTGACAAATAACTATTGTTAGGAGAAAAAGTGTTTTTTTTAGAGTTTTCTATTTGAATAAATGTTAGTATAGGTTGCACTTTGTAAATACAGCTGTTTTACAAACCACGCCTCTTATGGGGAGATATATGATATTCATGTTTAAATTGATTTGTTTACGTACTGGTTCCCAGATATGATCTCTATAGAGATATAACTTTGGAATGTTACCAGTATGAATTAAAAAATATAGCAACAGCCTTGAATTCCAAGAGAGACCAAAAGTGAAGATAGTACAGAATTTATGTACAAGTTTAAACTCTTAGAAGTTCGGGGCATATAAATGTTGAAAATATGCCGCACAGCCCTATATTTTGACCTTTGAAAAAACATAGTCCATATGAGCTTTCCATTCAAGGATATAATTTTCTTTCGAAACTTCATAGTAAAAGTGGTACAGTTTTATTCGCAAAAAGGAGTTTCTATGGGAAATTGCACAGAAATACAACCATTAAGTATTTTGGAATTATTTTTAGAAAATAATTAAATTGTTTCCTGTGCAATTTTCCGAATGTCGTTTTTAATTTGATTTTCATATTAATAAATGACTGAAATATAGGTGTTTCTTTTAAATATTTTAATTCAAAAGATCAAATGTCACTGATCTACACATCTAATCAACCATGAATGCCTGTTGAAAACGTTATGATTGATCCTAAGTTATGTTCAATGTCCCAAGTAGGAAGCTATTGAATCTTGAGTTCAAAATGATCAAGCAGAAGTCAACCCTTTTGACAAATTTGTGGACACCTTCATAACTTGGTTGAGATGTTTAACCCCGCCACATTCTGTATATGCTCTTTCAAGTCAGGAGCCTGTAATTCAGTGGTTGTTGTGTGTTTCTGTATATCATATTTGGTATTTGTATATTGTTTTGTACATACGTCAGGCCGTTAGCTTTTATGTTTTATTTTTGTCATTACGAGGCCTTGAACAGCTAACTATGTAGTATTGGTTTTGCTCATTGTTGAAGGTCGTATTATGACGTATACTTGTTAACGTCTGTGTCGTTTGATCTTTGGTGGAGTGTTGTCTCTTTGGCATTTAGGACTGTACGACATTTGTCTACGTATAAAAACAATATATTGAGTATGTTCCAACAAGACAAAAACCTAATGACATAAAATATATTAAATGGTTAACAATATTTAGTTGATTGATAACATATATTTGTCTAAAATTTAGACATAGATAGAGCAAAATATTGTATACAACCAACAATTTCATTCATTTGAATATCATCTTTATATACTACAGAAATATACATTAAGATTTATAAGGTGGTAATGAAAAGAAACTTTCATTCCAACATCCTAATTTCAGAAGAGATATTGAGCTGTAAATAAGGAGATACGTATGAAGACTAGCTGAGCATCCCTCTTGCCACATTATTCTGCCTTTGAAGTTATGAATAACAGGTCATATAACAGCACAAATGAAGACCTATATGAAAAACATAGTTATTGTCAACAAAAATTACAAGTCATAGTTCTGTTTTTTTTTTTGTAAATATACAAATTAATGTATTTATCTAAGATTAATGTAACCTGAACTATCGTTGAAAGTCCCTTTTAAATCTCTGACGTTAAGCATCATACCAAAACTATAACAAACACATCGACCTTTTAATCTAACTATAAAAGTCCTTATTATGACGACCCCTTATGTTATACTGTACACCAAAATATACTTATTATTTATTCCCATTTTAATTAAAAAAAGCTGACTTCCAAGTTTGTGTGTTTGCTTCTGTCTATGTGAAAAGAGAGAGCCAATGCGACCGCCATTAAGCACCACATATAAAATTATATTGTTATGTCGTCTAATATCTTATAGATACCTTTAACAAGTTGTTGTAATATTAAATGTCCAATAGTATTCTTAATAATAAAACTCGATTTCTTGAACCCCCAGTTCTGATTTTGAAAAATCGTCTCGATTTTAAAAGTGTTCTTCATATGCTGCAGTGTGTTTCTTGCACATGGATATCCATTTACTCATGTGGTTGTCTGTTACTTCTTAGACTTACGAATTGTTATGTACATCCACCTGAAGTAAGTTGGGATAGTTTTTGTATCCACTGACGTAACATGTAGACAATTGTAACTCAACTTACTTTTGTTTCTTTCCTTTATCATAAGGGTGTAAGAGACAAACAAAAAGTTTAACAACAATGTAAATCATGCAGATAACAAAGATTAATCAAATCAAACATAATATGTGGTAAAATCGTATAATCACTAATGATAATGAAATGAAACTGATTTTACATTATCATAATAACGTTAAATTAATCAATTCTAATCTCCTGGACGCATTATTTGCATAATATATGTATAAAGTTCAAAAGATTGCATAAATGCCCGTCTCGCTGACTCTATGTCTCCTATTAACTGAAAAGTTTTGCCTAGTATACTGTAAGATATAGCTTTTAGTAAGGAATTTGCTATGAAATAGTTTTCCTCTATAGTTAATTGGAGATCTTGGAGAAAATCCCGACATTGTTTGGTATTGTTAAGATGATAATGGCATAGGAAACGTAGGAAATGGGTAAAAACTACTGGGGAGATAAAGCGTTCATTGTGTTCTCCTTCAATTCGTATTTCATCTGGTACTAACACAGAGTTTGAAGAAAATATCACATGATCTAAATGAAGAAACTTCAACAACTGAACAATAGTCATCTTCCTAAAAAAATGCAAATTAAACAATTCTTTATGAATATGTGACAAATTCATGCGTTCGCAAAGTTTTTCCGGTGTGCATTTTAAAAGACAATACTGGAGAATATCAACAGCTTTTTTGTATTCGTTTGTCCTGTAGAAAAATGAAGCTAACAACAACCATCCAGAAACAGCGTCATGGCGCGTACCCAGCAAAAACTTACTTATAGAGGTATTATATTGTTTGTAAGTATATTTGTTATCGAATTTGTCATCCGATTGTAGTAATCGGTGACTTCTGTAACAATATCTTGAGATATAGTACGCGAATAGGGATTTGATTTTTGAACTGTTGATAGACAACACTCTGTATATCCCATTTTCTAAAATGAATTTATTATACAACATTTTGTCTAAAACATGAATATTTGAAAATAATAATGCTTCAACATTGCGGACGTGTAAACAACGTGGCTCCTCCCTAATGTTATTTGTTATTGAATCGAAATTCGAAATTTGGCCTGAAAATAAGATGCATTGCCAACCATAACTTGTTAGAACATGCAACGTATTTAAAAGTATTTGCTGTGATTGCCCCTTTATTTTATTCTCAAATAAATTATTTTCAGGAATAAAATAATGTGGACACATTGAGTATTCAATATAATATATTAACCTCCTAAAACATCTCATGAAACACGATATTAAGTTTTCAGGTTTCCATATTGATGTAGACGATTCTTCCGATATCCAAAACATAACGGTTTTCATGAAATATGAACACAGCAAATCCTTAACATCTAAGGCAAGAGATATAACGTCTTTCAGTAAAATTTTCAGTAAAGCATAACAAAGCAACTGACTGTGGGTTAATGAATACATTAACATTTTTTCTCCAACAGAAAACGATATTCTCCATTCTAATTTTTCTTGTATGGATCCTTTTACACCTACTGGAACAAAAAGTACACCATGCCTAGCAATAGACTGTTTCACATTGTATTCAGGCCAAGAGTTATTTGATCGAGTTAACCATTGTTTAGCTGAAGTTATCCATGATTTACTACGTAAGCAGAAAGCTAAGTCAAATAATCCATATTTGTCGGACAAACATGGACCGTGAACAGTCGGTAATATAGTGTTTGTAATTCGTTCCCGAAAGGAACTGTTTGAAAAGTAGTAATCACTTCCTATCTCATCACAGCTCTTAAAGACACGCCGATCATAAGTGTGCACTAGACGTAACTTAGTGAAACCTGGATGTGTATCTTCTGTTTCCATTGTTAAATATGTTGTTACCTCAGGATTAAAATGAATGGTTGTGCCTTCACAGACTGTAGCCCATTTCACAGCAATCATTATATCTAAATCGCTACCGCGCATCTCTAGTCCCTCCCCAAAACTTCCACTGGTGATTACTTCACAAACGTTGTCGCTTTGTAAAGAGTCTCTTATATTGTTCATCATTCTAAGAGTTCTTACTTGATCATCTGTTCCAACAATATTCTGACACATATACTTATATAGAGCTACTGATGCATTATGTGTGACTTGTTCTGAAAAAAAAAATGTTTATCTATATCAGACAAATTAAAAGCAGATACAAAGAGATTGAGATGACTTATCGATGGTTCGAGGTTAAAGTGTAGTTTTTCAAGGTCTAATCAAGTAAACATGAACAAAGGTATTTCTGTATATTTTATTTCAATGTCATGATGTACAGTGCAATTATGTCGCAGGAGGGAGTGGAATATTTGATCATTACAATTCAAAGCCCCCCCCCCCCTTATATGTTAAGTGTTAATAGTGATTGTAAATAAAGGCAACAGTAGCATACCGCTATTCGAAATTCATAAATCGATTGAGAAAAAAATAAATCCAGGTTACAAACTAAACTGAGGGAAACACATCAAATATAAGAGGAGAACAACAGAAACTCAACACTAAAATGCAAAACACAGAAACAAACTATAATATAACAATGGCCATTTTCCTGACTTGGTACAGGACATTTTAAGAAAAAAATGGTGGGTTGAACATGGTTTTATGGCTAGTCAAACCTCCCGCTTTTATGGCAATATTAAATATAGCATTCAAATGACAAGATTACATGACAGGACTACAATACAAATAAATGGGAGAACATACAGGACAGAGACACACACACATAATAGCTATCAAAAGGTACCAGGCTAATAATTTAATACGCCAGACGCGCGTTTCGTCTACATAAAACCCATCAGTGACGCTCAGATAAAAAAAATCGACAACCAAAACTAGTTCAAAGTTGAAGAGCATTGAAGACCAAAAGTTCCAAAAAGTTGTGCCAAATACGACTATGGTTATATGCCTGGGATAAGAAAATCCTAAGTATTTAGAATAATTCATACTTTTCCAAACAGTAAATTTATAAAAATGACTATATAATAGATATACCTGTTAACACCGATGTGGTGACTAACTACAGAATAAAAAGGAATACGTAAAACAACCTAAATCATCACATAAAAAGGCACAGCCGAACAACGTATTATATGTCAGCCAAAGAAATCGACGCACAATGTGACGTCACATTTAAATTTCAATAAATTTCCAAAAAATAGCATAGAGTTCAAGATTATGTTTGTAATACTGATATTACATGTATTAGTAACAATAAAAATTACAATACTTTTTAATTTAAAATTGTGGTAGTAATTAGATAATTAATTGTATTATCAAGCTATGTGGGTATTTCTTCAAAATCGAACTGTAAACTAGATACATCGTATTAATTTAGTTGAACGAACTGGGTGATTAATCATCTTTACGTAACACAAGAATAGAAGAGAAACTACAAACGATAAGACATTTGACAAAATCCGTTGAGAATAACACATTTAACATATGTAAGTGACATCATCTAAACTGTAAAATGTTACCAAAGTTGTAACTATAAACAATATTATAAGTACTATACCAGAATCTCGTTATATTTACGTATATTGTTTTGTATATTTCGTTTGAGTGATTAATCTTCCTTCTATCAGTTTTCATTGTGAAGGTGTACATAGTACGGTGTACCAATCAAAAATATCAGGATTATATGTTCACTCTTGACTATGGGGTGAGTACCCAGAATCTGCTATTTACAAATGTTTGTCCTTGTCCTTGTTTTTTTTCGACCGACCTTTGTCTTTAAAAAAACGGTCAGGTAACAAGAATATGTATCTGATTTTTTTTTAAACTAACGCAGAAAAATGCACGACATACTTGATGTACGTAGCTCATGATTAACGTTTTCACACATATATAATATATAATGTTAAACAGTATATACTTCAAACAACTAACGGTTTAAAAACAAGACAGATCGCAAGATTGCATCAACTTACCCAAATAGAGATTTAATTAAAGCCTGAATATTTAGACATTGTTTATTTTGTTAAATAGTGCCGTTTTTTTTCAAACAATATTACAACTTCATGTTACGATTTGACTGGGTATCTATATCCAGGGAAAATGGTGGTATTTATTTTTTCTATAGGCAACAACACAAACATTTCTTAAATTTACAACTTGTTATGATAAAATGCCGAACAAAACAGTTATTTCTGGTATTAGTATATTTTTTTTCTGTTCTACTCTGTTATATAAGTTAAATGGTATTATGGCCATTTTCGAACGGAGCTTGTGCATGATATTCATGCCCACCGTCATTTTACATCAAGTTTATTTTGGAAGCCTTTTCAAATAATTCCCAAGCAATTATTTAAATGTGGTTTTAAAATTCATATTGTAAATATGCATACTAAAGTTATTCAAGAATACAGAAAAAAAAATATTATACCCTTTTATCCAATCACAGCGCTCGTAAGTTGTCTTCCCTCACCTGCCTTGGGTACATGAAAGTACAACATAAAGTCGACAAATATAACACTACTGTTTTCCCTCAAGATATTGCCAGGTAAAGTCTCTATGTAATATTTAGAATTAAAGAAAATAAGCACCCTGAAACCAATTACCCTTCGGGAAAGTTTTATGCGCAATCTATGTGACACAAAACAAAGATTTGAAATTTGCATTTGAATTAATCATGTAAATATTACTTGCCATTCTTGTTGTTAATTTTGAAATTCTTTACTTTCACGTCAGACATTTCCCTTATAAAAAATATGGAGATGAGGTATGATTGCCAATAAGACAAATATCCACCAAAGATCAAATAAAGTGGATGTAATCAATTATCGGCAACCGTATGGCCTTCAACAAAGAGTTAAATTCATACCATATAGTCGGCTAAAAAAGGCCCCGACATGGAAAATGTGATACAATTCAATGGCGAAAACAAACGGCCTAATTTGTAACAAAACAATTTACGAAAAAACAAATATAAAAGACATGAACCAACGACAACCACTGAACTGCAGACTCCTGACTTGGGACAGGCACATACAGAATGTGGCGGGGTTACACATGTTTGCGAGTGCTTAACCCTCCCCATAATCTATGGAAAGCCAACGGGGTCAAAATTTTTACTTCGTAACTTGTCAATTTGTAACTTGTATCTTTGTAATTTCAAACTTCTTACTTCGTAAATTGTCAATTTGTAACTTGTACCTTTGTAATTTGAAAATTCGTAATACGTATATTTGTCAATTTGTAACTTGTAACTGTGTGATTTCAAAATTCTTTATTGGTATATTGCAATTTGTATATTGATGTTTTGTCGATTCGTTAAATGTCGATTCGTAAATTGTCAATTTGTATATTGATGTTTTGTAACTTGTCGATTCGTTAAATGTAGATTTGTAAATTGTCAATTTGTATAATGATGTTTTGTAACTTGTCGATTCGTTGAATGTCGATTTGTAAATTGTCATTTTGTATATTGATGTTTTGTAATTTGTCGATTCGTTAAATGTCGATTTGTAAATTGTCATTGTTGTATTATGCGAACGATCATTATTACGACAGATGGCGCTCGGTTTCCTCTTTGGTGTATAAGCCTCCTGTAAGTAGGAGCACTTCCATGTGGAGTATATACCTTAGTAATTTTATAAATCAATTATGTACAGCATATGCAAATAAAAGAAAATAAATACATAAATACATTGTTCGGTTTATATGGCATATACCAGGGACTCAGCTTTATATAGAGTTGACCTCGAATAAACATGTATGTCTACCGTACTGGTCACTACACCTGGGAGGGGTGTGTCACTTCCTGTATTTAGGTATATACTGATGTGTCGCTGGAATGAGCTCCCTTATCAAGGCGCTGTTAATTGTGTGTATTGGCATATATACTATATTTTTGGCTCCCTTATCAACTTCGCAAATATAATTAATACTTTCACTTGGCAGGAAATTTCATCTGAATATTTGACCGGGTCAAAATTAGACTAAATACATGAAATATAAGACTGACCTGGAAAATTCAAACTTATATTGTTCTGGGCCGCAAATTTTGGACTAAATGTATGATGGGAGAAATGGGTTAACACCTATTATTCCTTAATATTATAATCTTAAGATATTGGAAAAGAATGTAATTTATATCTAATGATTTTTTAATACAAGAAGCACTGAAATGGATGAAAAATCTTTATTTATTTGGCTCTCGTGTAATGAAGATAAAAATATTTTATATCATGTACTTTGCAAAACAAATTGAATGAAGTATTATTTTAAATGAGTCACTTAGTTAATGTATACTAGTACTATATATTGAAACTGTATTGGTATATGCAATATTTTGTAATAAAATCTAAAGGAACCAGAAATCTTATCGAGAACTTAAATGGACTACTCATATTTCAATCGTAGCCAAGAATGCAAACTCAACCGTGACTAGGATTCCTGGTAAGGTATTTGAGATATTGTCGACCAGAATGCAAGAAAACCGCAATATCTCACTGGTCAATAATGGAGTATGAAGCAATAGTATATGGGACCCCTACGAACATCAAAAAGCTCACCAAAGACAAACAGACAAAACGCTTAAGCCAGAAGCTAGTATTTCTGTACGAAGTGGTTGAGGGGCTGGTTCATGCTATAGAACTTGACAAATTTTAAAAAAAAGCTCGTCCAAAAAGAACAATTGCTGCCAAGGGATTTGACAATTATCAGTCAATAAATATTGTGGAAAAAGAGATCAAGAACTACACAAAGTGTTTTGAGATTTCAGCGATCAAAATCCCACATTCCAACTCATTTTTGGTAAAAACAGTAATCGAGTGGAACCTCCTTGAAGACACTGTAGTGCGCACACCGAGCGTTGACAGCTTTAGATACTGCTCGCGTGCATCGTCAATAAATCATCTGTGCTCTCTCTACCATTGTATTAAAGTCAGAATTGGTACCCCGAACGTATTCCTACAGATACAGATACAGATCTAGAATGAACATGGTACTGGATCGACATATACTAGGAGTTGTCTCCTCTTTTTACCAAAATGACACCCTGCCGCTTTGACTTGTCAGATAGAAGATCTCGCCATTTGCCAGACCGAAGCAATTATCTCCAATCTGCTTACCCTAATTTCATTTCCCATGAACATCTTTGAACATGATT